ACAACATGAAGGGTGCTGAAATGCCCAAATACCAAAACATCAAGTTAGAAAAATAAAATGATTAACATTTATAACTTTGCAAAGGGAAAATAATTTTTTTTTTAACTTAAGCAAGAAAAAGTGAAAGCAGTCATTCATAAAATGGAGAAAACACTGAAAAATTATCCACTTTGTCATGGGTGGATTCACTAAAATGACTTCAAGAGTATTAAAAAATGTCTTCAGTAGGTTCCAAAAGGACCCATTTCAGCTTGACCTCTGTAGATGACTTGACTTTAAAGGCATGCCTTGCCTTAGCTAAGGTGAGGGTTTATTTTTCCAAAACAAGAAAGAAATTTTGCAAAAAGTTGAACCCCGTGAGAGTTACACACTAAAAATGGAGAATGTAGCTCCAAATTAAATTGCTTAATTTGATAACAAGCAGCATATGAAGCTTGGAAAACAGGTTTCTATTTCCATCACTCTGGTTCTCTGCCGCTCTGCAGAGAGGGTAACTGGCTGGAATCTTCCAATTCTCTTCAGGAACTGTACACCTCCAGAACCCAGAGGGAAGCAGGTAAGTGACAGGTGACCCCTGCCACCCTAGAAGCACACAGCTTCAGACTGCCCCGTCTGGCAGGAGACTGCGGTCCATCAGGACCAGAACATCCTCGATGATCGGCTTTGCAGAGGCAGAATGGATCCAATCAAAAGAGATTTTTTCTTCAGTCCAGCTGAATTAATGTTTTGGCATTAGAGGCCTTTATTTGAAGTCAGCTGACAGGATAATGTGTTGGGATAAGAGGAAAACATGCAACAGGCTGGGACACAAACCTAGTACCTTGTTGAGGACTGAAAGCCTCTTTACATGGGTTTCACTTTTACTCATGCACCCCCATTGCCCTAAGCTAAATACTATAAATCTTGGTTCGAGCCCCATATATAATCTGACACTTTAAAAAAGATTTAAATAATTTGGATAAAAACCATAAAAATTGTATTTTTTATCAAAACTCAGTTTCTATATTAAGGTTATAATTACTTAAATAAAGGCTAAACCTTTTGCGAAAAGAGGATGGATACATTTTCCTCAAGGTGAAGATGATGTTTGTGGAAAATGACTTACTTTAAGTGTCAATCATCTGTGTACATTTAAGACAGTTATTGGATGAAAACCAGACAAAATACTAAAACTTACAATTGATCATGTATTTTTATTGAGAAAAATCAGTTGGATCATTATCATTTTTAAGCAATGTTATTAAGAGCCATTGTGGAATGTCAAAAAGCCCACTTAGAAGTTACTGTGTACATTAAATGTTTTCAAACAATAGAAAAGAAAAGCACACATAGGTCAGTTTTATTGTCAGACAAAAAGAGGATATAATCTCACGTGTCTTTTTATTGTGTGTAAACATTATGTCAATAGTAGTAAATAGCTCAAGTGTCAGGGTTCTGCCCTGTGCTTGGGTTTATTTATAAGTTTCTATGTGTTCTGTGTCTTTGAAGTTTATTTCTACCAGTGCTGACTTCTTTAGTTACCCTCTGTTGCCCCCTTGTGCTTGTTTTGCTTTCCTTTTGGCCTCCTCCTAGTTGGTCTTGCCCACACCTGCACCCAATCTGCTGATTAACCTGTCTTGGTTCAGTCTCCCAATATATATACCACCTCTGCAGTCACTCAGTGTTGGTTTGTTGTTCCCTCATCTCTGGCTTCCCTCATGAGTTTTCCTTGATGTAATCTTATTTTTTGGTTCTCCGTATTTTGGATTTTTGGATTTTACCTAAGTTGCCTCATTCAATTTGCAAGACTCACCTCTCTCTCCTGGTCTCTGCATTTGGGTCCTCAAAAACCTTCACCCAACCGTTACATCAAGTGCTTTGTATAGATTTAAACTGTTTAAACTTATACTTTAAGATAGCTGACAGGAGGCCCCCTCTGTTAGAGATGTCTCTAACCATCCAGTTCGCCTACCGACGGAACCACTCCACTGAAGGGGAAAAACACCCATGTGCGGATGCTGTTCCTGGACTTCAGTTCAGCTTTCAACGCCATCATCCCACAGCATCTACTATGAAAACTGCAACAGCTGGGCTTCAATACAACCCTCAGCAATTGACTGCTAGACTTCCTTACCAACAGATCTCAGTCAGTCCAGGTCGGACAGAACACCTGTGATGTCATCACTCTAAGAACAGGCTCCCCTCACGGCTGTGTCCTGAGCCCCCTGCTGTTCACGCTGATGACACATGACTGCGACCTCAGGTTCACAGGAGCAGCTGTTGGACTTATGCAGAAAAAACAACCTGATCTTGAATGTGGAGAAAATGAAGATCAATCAACAGTTCAGCTGTAGAGGTGGTCAGCAGCACCAAATACCTGGGGGTGCACATCACAGACAACCTCACCTGGACTGTAAACACCACCTTACTTGTCAAAAGGGCACAGAAGCACATGTACTCTCTGCAGAGGATGAGGAGAGTCCACCTGCCCCCACCCATTCTGTAGAACAAGCTTCTACAGAAGCACCATAGAGAGCGTTCTGACCAGCTATCTCATGTTGTGGTGTGGAGACTGCAGCTCCTCAGACTGGAAGAAGGTGATGAGAGTAATGGGAACTGAAGAGAAGATCATCCTGGATCCTCTTCCCCCCATAAAATACATTTCATCGCAGCTCTGCGTGTGCCGAGCCATTAACATTATAAATGAGCCCTCAAACCCCCACCATGGACTGTTCTTCCTGCTGCCCTCTAGGAAGAGGATTCAAAGTATCCAATGCAGGTCCAGCAGATTCCTAAACAGCTTCTTCCCCACTGTCATTAGACTGCTGAATGTTGAATGAAAGAGAAAAATAGGTAAATGTTTGAAAAACTTTAAATTATATTATATTAGTCTTATGTTTACTTTTTTATCAGCATGTTTACATTTGATCACTGCTGCAATTTAAGAAATGGAAAAGCCTTGAAAGCTTTACACACCTTGTGTGTACAAAATGACATTAACGTTTGTCTAAGTCTAAGGAATCAAAGTTAATGCCAAAAAGGAAAACAGTTCAAACTAGTGTTATACCGCTAGATGGCAGCAAAGCGCCACAGTGAGGAATCATGAAAGAAAAAATGAAAAACATGTTTAGTTGCTTATTTCTTTTATTTGTTTTGTTTAAAAACACATAATTTTGATTCATACTATTTTGTTTTTGCTTTTTTACTCACTGTATCATTTGTAGCCTACAATTCGTTTCGTCCTCAGGTTGATTACAGAGCAACATGACTGGCAGACTGCCTGAATTGCTGAGATAACCAGCAGAAGAAAGGATCGGCTCTGAGTATTATAGTGAGTGTGCATATGCTTTCAGGCATTTGATCAGCATCTTCGATTAGATGTCCACTTAACAAGTCAGATCCCCACTACTATCTGCCTCATAGCCAAGGGACAGCCCTGAATTTCCCGCCCCCACCGTAAAGGTCACTCTGCAGAGGTTAAAGGTGATCCAACACACACATTCTGACATATGTATTTAAATACGCACAACCACACCTAATCTGGAAGCCCTTCTCCTCCCTCTTCTTCCATCTTGTCCAGTCAAGTTCTCCACCATCCTCCATCACTCTCTTTCCCTCTCTCCCTCTATCTTTTTTTGTCTCTGTTCAATTTGAAATTGATTGTCTCTACCATCACAAAGACACTTGGTTCTGATTGATTGGTAAAGGATGGGGGAGAAAATGTTGACACTGAGCTCAGAAGGAGAAAGCAAATGACACCCCTCTCGTGGTTCTGCTTGCGTCGGTATATCTTTTGTATAACAAGAAAGAACGATGAAGTAATTCACAAGAGCTAAAATAAACTAAAACGCAACCCCAAATCCACAATCGTACCTTAAATCGACAATATGTGCAGACAATTAGAGACAAAGAGGAAGGAAAGACACAGTTATGAAATATGAAAACTAATGCATAAATACACACATTTTATACAAATACACAAATGGCACAAAAAAGACTAACAAAAATGACCAAATGCAGCTGTTGTTTTTTTACCCGTTTCTCTCCTTTACCTTCACCTTGCTGATGATACATTTCATCCTAATAATTTTATACAATTAAAATCCATGCAAAAAAAAAAAAAAAAAAAAGAACACAGATGTGTTTCAATAAATCAGAATGTTATTATGAAATGTAGTTCACAAATTCAGTTTAAAAAGTAGAGCTTCTGTTTAACATAGATTCATTACACACACTATGACTGCAGACTGATCCAGAATGTAGCTTGCAAATAGTGTCTGCGGGAGACAGACACCAGCAGAAGGAAGATGAATTATTTTAAATGTTTCTGTACTGATTATGAACTGACCTGGTGTCCCAGATCATCACTGATTGTAGAAACTTCACAGTGAGCCTCAAGCACTTTGGATTCTGTGCTTCTCCTTTCTTCCACCTTGATCCAAATGAAATGCAGTCTTTACTTTTTTTTTTTTTTTGAAAAGAGGACTTTGGACCACTGAGCAACAGGCCATCCTTTCTTCTCCATTCCCTGCAAATAAAACCTGCCCCTGGAAAGGCTTATCGGAGAAAATGCTACAGTTGGGGTTCATGTCCTGGATATGTCTGTTTTCTCACCTTCTGAATCTCCCCAAAACTCTTGAATGAGCTTTGCTCTGAATGCTACAGTTTTCCAGGTTAGTTTTCCATAAACGTTTGTCCTTCCACTTTCATTAGTATACTTTCCGATACATCACTTTGTTATTAACCTGGCTTCTTTAACAGCAACCTTCTGTGTCTATGACTTTTTTCCCCACACAAATGTGTACACCTTTGTATAACAATATCCTATTAAGAAATACATTTTAGTTAGTTATAAAGTTCTAAAATTTGAGTTTTTGTCAAATGATGAGCTTCATTGAATTTAACAGAAATATATCACTTTGTGTGTAATGAATCTATTGCATGGACTTTCCTATGATATTTAATGGTTTTGAAAATGCATTTGTAAACCATCCCACCCCTAATGACAGAGGTCATCTTGCTTGGTTCTGTTTTTTTAATATGGACTTTTGCTGTGGAACACATATGATGCAATATTCAAACAAATATTAACCCAAAAACTAATAAAATCAAAAGTAAATGAGTACTTCATGTGTCAGTATACATTCCCTTTTTGGTTTCATTATTCCCCCCCAAAATATTCATGTTTTTCTATAGTTATATAGAATCGCAGAAATCCAAATATACCATGTGAGTTATTCTCTCTGTATCTCACTTTCATGATAAAAGAAAACAGTGGAAATCTACGAACAATAAAAAAAGTCAAGCACATGAAATAATATAGCTGCTTGTATTCCACACACTACAGTATAAGAAAGTTGATACATAAATGAACAAATTTTGCTGTGACTTTAATGCCACATTCATTGCTAAACACTGTATTTTTTCACTACATGAACCTTTACAATACAGATTTGAGGTATATCGAGATGAAATGTCTACAGATGCCTTGCTTGTTGTAAAGCTACCCTGGTGGGAGGGACCAGGGAAGAGGATTCAGATGGGCAGGGAGCAAAGCTGGTGGGTTTCACTGGAAAAGTTGAAAATTCTCCAACTATTGGCTGTAGGGAGAGTGGGTGGAACATATTTTGTAAACAGTCAAATACAGACTCACAAACTATAAAGTACACAAAAATATCTCTGACTGGAGTGTTTGTATAACAAGAAAAGACCTTTTCAGATAATGTTAACTCAAAAGTAGGTTAAAATAAATAAATGCATTAATAAAATTGTGGTGGTAAAAGTACAAATACTAAGAGTTATTTTAATGGTATACGTCTACACTAAAGAGACTCTCCCAGGGCCAGCCCAAGGTATAAGTGAACTTGAGTTTTCTAAAATATATGTTGGTAAATGCACAGTTTGTATAAACACTAAGAAAAACAACACATTTATTGAAGGGTCTCTCACCAGCAACATAGTTTAAAGCCTATTCAATCATTTATATCACTTATATCTAAGTAGGGAACAGATTTTATCTAACTTTCTAGCTTAGATGAGATGTTTTTTTTTTTTTTTAATACACACCGTTTTAAGACTGAATAAAACATTTACCAAATAATTTTGGGAAGTTTAAGAATATCTGTTTCCATGTTATTCTCTAATACTGTAAAATACTATTTTTATATCCTTTTAATCAATAGATATTTGTTTACAGTTGTCATGTATTCCATTGTGGAAAATTAAATATAAATGTTAAGTAATAAGGAATATCCTTCCTGATTGTTTATAGTGACACATTATAGTGTGCTATCTTCAAGTTTGGAATAAAAATGAATGACAATATGCCTTTCTTTTGTTTTGTTTTATAAACAAATTCTGAAACCAAACTTAGAGTCATACCGAATAAGTCAGGAAATAAAACCCCTAAATGGATCATGAGGTGGCTTCTGTAATGCTATAAAAGCCTGATCTGTGATTTTTAATATGCTCTGTGTCGATACAAAACCTTTGCAGATGTATGCAGTTTCCAAAAAAAAAGCTTAATAACTGCTCTCTCTCCAATTAATTATGCTACATGTTTATATATGATCCTCAGCTTAGGCTGCAGGACTTTATGTTATGTTCGTATGAGACCAAAATGAACAAGAATGACAACAGCTTTAGCTGGACTGTATGCTAGTGCTTTGGTGTTCCAACCATCCACAAAAAATAGAATTTTTCTTTTAAACCTCTCAGTTTTTCATCAAAGTAATAAATGTACCTTTGATCAGCTTATAGACATGTAGACAACTGACAAGGAAATTGTATAAACAGGTATATGGAAAATTTAATTTTTGGCACTTTTGGTAACCGTTAGCACAGCTTTAAAAAAAGTGGCCAATCATGAACAAGAAAAATTGGAGTCAGAGGGAAGATGATGGAATTTACCCAACATGTGCACTCCAAATGATCTGCTGTTCTGTTTCAGGGCTTAATAGAGCCTTGGGCTGGCTCCGGTGGCTTCCTATTAGCATCCTATTTAGATGGCATGTATACCTCCATTTTACAGAGATCAGAGCAGTCCAACCCTCTGGTGGAAGGAAAAAGGCACTCAACTCTTCCCACATTACAAACACATTGCAGTGTTTGCAATGCAGCGCAACTGCTCTGTGAAACCTCTGCACATCCACCACATCTAGCTAGTTTTATTTATGGTTGTGTTTTTATTTAATTAAATTTTTTTTTTGCTGTTTTCTGTTTGTTTTGTTTTGTGTGCCTGTATGTTTGTGTTTGTTTTTCTGTGTGCATGCCCGGGTTTCATCACAAACACAGCGAGCTTGATGCTGCTTTGGTATCAGCAGCTGTGTCACAGTCCACATCATTCTGCAACAAAGAAATGTTTCCATTTCTCCTTCTCTTTTTCTCACTTCTGAACTGCAAACGCCTGCACTAACAAGCTCTGCAAATCTGTAGAAAAAACACAACAGGTAATGTAGGAATATGATCTAAATATATCCTTTAATCCTCACAGATGTTCTGAGATGCTTGCTGCCTCCACTGCCACACCCGCGTTCCCCCTCTCTGAACCTCCTCCTTTATATGATTATCTCCCGCTTGAAGATGCTACACAACAAGTGGCTTTGCCCACATAAAAATGTAAAAAGACACTTAAAAAATGAGCCAAAGAACATAAACAGCAGAGGAATGCAGCGACAGTCCAGTTCAAAGAAGATTAGAGATCAAGGAAGAGGTCCTTCACATCCAGAGAGTCCATTGATTCCACACGTATTCACAGATATGCACAGTCTTTCCACTTGTGATATCCCTTCCTTGTCTGTGCATAGCATCAGTTTGTGACATGTTGATTTGTCTTGTTTCCTAATCTAAACATTTTTTTTTACATATTATCAAGAAAGTGCTTCTATACATATAATTTCAGCACAACATAGCACAATAGCCACAAGAGTGTGTCTATAGTACTAATTTTACCCGCATCAGTATTTGAGGAAGAGGGGAAAACTTGAACAAAAGACACAGCAAAGGGGGGGGGGGGTAGAAGTAGAGTAGATAAATAGGGAATAGATAATACAGAGAAGAGGATGAAATTAAAGATTATTTACAGTTTTTCATGTTCATCTGTGTTTTTCTGAGGTACGGAGCTGGCATCGGGCCTGTATTAGTGCTCGCAAATTGAAAGTTGTGATGAAAAGAAGCAGAAAAGATGGCGACGGAGCAAAGCTGCATCTGTTCTCTGATTATCATGAAAGAGGCAAACATCATTGGCACTCTGAATCCTGTATTGTGACATTTGACCTCTGTGTTTGGCCACTAGAACAGAGCAGACCCGCCCTCCGTCCCTCCTTCGCCCCACTACACTATAGGGAGGACACCTTTTTTTTGGTTGTGTGGAGTGCCGTCCCACTTTGATTGTTCTCCTTTTGGTAACCTGAATATAACCTCTCATATGGCAGCATAGCCGCACAATGAGCACTTGGAAGCAAACATTCAAATAGTATCAAAGGGTTTGTTGACAAGAGCTGTAATCATATGGATTCACCATCAAAGTGTGTGTGAAAGCTACACTATGGTGCTTGTTTGGATATTGTTTCTATAAAGTAGGCAGATTTTTGTTTGCAATACCTAATCAAAACCCATTTAGATTTATTTTTTAACAGGGCATTATAATTATCTCTCCACCAAAAAGCCTGGAGAGTAATGCATGTTACTTTCTTTAGCTGTTTACACAATAAGCACAGCTATATCGGGTATGTTTCTATATTAGGCATCAGTAGAAAAGGATGATGCATTAGCCTCTTGAAGAAGTCTCCCATTTCACCAGGGGATATATTAACCACTACCTGAATTGGGTGGAATAGAAAGGGATATGGAGTGGGTGAGGGGCAATCTTTGGAAATGTGCTGCAGCCAAAGCCTTCTATGACAGAGCATATATTTTCTTCCTATATTAATGCTCCAACACAAACCTTCAATTCAGTGCAGATTGATTTTCTTTGGTTTTCATTTGGAAAGTTTAAAGCTACATATTCTTTGGTTTTAAGGAGACTTATTTCAAAATGCAAGTCAGCCCATTTGGAAAGGATGTTCAAATGTAAAAGAAAACACATAGTACATTCCATTCATTGGTACAAGAGGAGCAAATGAGATCCAAGGAAGAGTGCTGAACCTGCACACTCAAAGAACTCTACAGAACAGCAGTTTTTAAACACTGGTTTATAAATTAGGGGGAAAAAAAGAAAAATTAAATTATCCCTCTTTAGCCATCAGGCTTTGGAGAACGTGTTTGCAGACGAGGTGCCGGGCTGGATTGGGGATGCGCTGTTGGTGCTGCTGCTGTTTCCGTGGGGAGCATGGACATGGCCATGGCCGTGCACGCCATGACTGTGCTCCTCTGGGTCCCAGCGCTCTGGACAGCGGCGCCGTGAGTTCATGAAGAAGTTGGAGACGGTGGAGAGCTCCAAGCCCAGCTGCTGAGAGATGGTGAGCTGCATCTCTTTGGAGGGGCGACGGTTCTCTCTAAAGATGGCCACAAGGGTGCGACGCTGCAGGTCTGTGAAGACCAGCCGCTGCTTCTTTGGCACCTGGCTGCGCTCCCGTCCCCGGTCTTCCTCCTTGCGTTTACATGCTAGATATAAAAAAGGAAAGAGATTACGTTAAAAGAGATACCAACATGCATTAATAGGTTTGTATGTGCATAAAGAAAGTGAATTAACAGATTCAGAATGCCTTTATTGTCATTATATGTGGTACAATGGAATTAAAAGCCATCAATATCAGTGCACAATATAACAATATAAAGAAAAATATGATATATATGCAATGTACGATGTAAACATGTGTACATCAGAGTAAAGTTAAGTCTTAAGACTTTAATGTAGTGTATATAATAGCAAAGAAAATGTCAAATCTGATGAAAAAAGTAATAAATATATATTATATAAATATATAATATATTACAGCTTTAGTGCAGGGCTGAAAGCAGACAATTTAAAAAATATACCCTTCATAATACAGCCCATACTTTCTTAGAATTTAGAGGTAACCTGTCAGCACTAATTTCCTGGAACTTACCTGATACTTTCTGGAACTCACTAAATGCTTATAAGGATTTAACAGATTCTAATATAGAATTTAAAGGCATACTGTGGACTTTGTGGCCTAAAACGTTGATGCATAAGAGTTATTTTATATGATTCTTCAGCCCAATATCATTGAAAACAAAAAAAATGCAACCACTTTTGGAATTTATTTAATCATATTTAGTTACTTTAACGCAATTGTTTCATGTTAGCAGGGTGGAAGATAAAAAATTGTGTTAAAGTAACCAAATATAATTAAGTAAATACCAAAAGTGGTTGCATCTTTTTTTTTTTTTTTTTTTATTGTACAGCGCTCGACACTATCAATGCTATGAGCCGGGCTCCTCACTTGAACTACTGAACCAGCTCATATGGCCAGCTCATATGACCTGGAAGAACATATAGCTTCATGGCCCCAGGCTCTTATATAGTCATGGAGCTAAGGGTTTTGCTCTACTGTTTTTTCTGCTGGATTGACTCCTGGTCATGGCTGAGGCAAGGAAAAGGTTTAAACCTTCTGAGGAGCAGAGGCGTAGCCAGAAAATCCTAATAGGGGGGCCCAGTCAATAACCAATGAACATTGAGGGGTGGCCGAAAGGCACCAGAACCTCAGGGTCAATCTACACTGTTCCAACAGGAACAAGCACAACATCCATATTTTCTAAATAAAAGCCAAATTACTTTTATCAAAGGTCATTCTGCTAAAAAAATATATATTTAAATCTTCTAATATCCACATTTAATGAATTTTTATGTTATTATTAAAGTAGTTATTTATCTATGATTTCACTGAAGACTCCTAGATGACTTGCAGAGGCACATTTTCTCTTTACCCCAAATATTTCAAAATTTAGTTCTGAAAAGAGCATGAATTCTGTATCATCTTTAATGTTTGTATATTGATGTGCATAATTAAAAGGTGTTTCTGTTGTCAAGTATTTGTTAATATATACAAAATTTAAATGTTTGATAAGTTTGAACATTCCCCTTCAGGGTATTACTGATGCCACTGTCTGTATTAGAGGGAAAAAATGGTCAGGGGAAAATGATTGGCTAAGGGTGGCCATGGCCACCCCTGGCCCCCCATCTAGCTCCGCCCCTGCTGAGGAGGCTAAAAAGAGAAAATGTGACAGGGTCTGTGCGTGAAGAAAAAGAAGAGTGGATCATGGAAAGGAGTTGGCTTTGGCGCAGGCTGAAAAGAAGCCAGATGTAAAACCGATTCTCATTTCTCAACTTTATTATTAGACTGGTAATTTAACACTTAGCTCCTAATATACAGCCATATATTTTTGTTAATATTTTCAATGTTTAAAAGAAGCAAAATACTGACAGAGAAAGTTAGCAGACTACAAACAAAAGCTACTAGGGGAGCTAGACGTGAAAGTTACCAGGCTAGCGCCCCTAGTGGCCAAAACTACACGTTGTGCCTTTAAATGAAACTTACTCAGAAATTATTGTTCCCTTTCCTTAAACTTAGTTTCAATCATTTTAACAGAACTTACTGAAAGAAATCATTCATGCATCTTTTGCATCAAGTTAAGAAACTTTACTGATCAATTCCCCAGAACATGGAGTATCATTGCCAATAACTAACTGTTTATTTTCTAAAACTTGTAAAAAAAAAAAATAATAATAATAATAAAAAAAGGTTTTTGGCCTATCCTTATGAAATATTAAATCTTAAGCGACATCAAAGTACAGTCTGGTTCTAGGACTGAAAGTCCTAGAGGGTTCAATTAAATTATTTTGCATGTTTTGGCGAAAATAACACAAAAATGATTTACATTATAATACCACTCAATAGACACATCCTCCACTCCTTTAGGTGTCAGTTCCATGAACATTCAAGAAATTCCCCTTTAATAGGAGAGCAAATGTCAAAATTGTCAAATTCAAGGCTCAAATTCTTGAATTGGTATGGTTTCCATCAAAACTTTTTTCTTTCACTTAACTTTCTCTCAAAATGCTTTGGCATAATACTCTGTAACAACTTCTTTAACAACATGCATGCTCATCATGTCACAATCTGATGGATGGCTGCAAACTTAAGTATTTTAACACAATGCAGATATGGTGTATTCAGAAGGAAATCTGCATTTTTTTGTATCTGTTATGCTAAGCATGCATCAACATTAGAAACATTAAAGCCAATAAAAAGGAAGAACATGACTAGAATGTTGTTTAGTGGTTCAAATGGCCCAGTTTAAATTTGGAAATCAAAAGAAAGGCAGTAAATTCAAGTGGTGTTGGGTGAAGATTTTGGATTTTTTTTTATAGGCATTGCAAGCAGGAGATTTAAAAAATACATTTAGTAATTTATAAATGATAAATAAAATGTAGCAGTTTTATTTTTTTTTTTATTAACAAGTAGTCTGAGGTTGAGATCTATTTACAACAAGTTAGTTAAATGTGATTTCTGCCACCCAAAATAAGGCAAAGCCTGTCTTTAAAGAAGGAGGTTATGGATTTGTCTGGAGTGTTTTGATCGTGGGTCGGTGTGGCTGTGCGTGTGTGCGTCTTGCTGAAACCGGAGGAGCGTGATGTGAAATGCTGACAAAGAGAAGCGGATTGCCGCGCTGCCTGGATGCACCGTCAGTAGTGCGGGGCTCGGCTCTGGCTGTGTAGACTGGAGGGAGTCTGTTCTGTTCTGCTGCCCTAAAAAGCTGCAATGATCGATTTTCCGCGGTTTTCTCCTGAACACGTGGTCCAGTAATCAGGGCTCCCTTCCCCACCCGATCGATCCGCATCGATCTCCTCGAGCGAGGTGCATGAAAGTGTGATGGTTTGTGTGTGAGTGTATAGGTGGGGGCGCGTGCGTTGGCGCGCCTTTGTGACAGACAGATGAGAAGAAATTGTTTATCTGTGGAGGAACAAAGGAGGTGAGGCGGGAAAAGAGTGGCAGCCATCCAGTCTGTGAGCTCTCAAACGAGTCACTGGTTATTAAAATAAAAAAAAAAAGATATGAAATGTTCTTAGGAGACAGAGTTAAGACTAAGAGGATCAGGGAGGATCCCAGGCTAAGATGCCTGTGTGCATACGAGGACCAGAGGAAATGAGGAGAAGATTAAAGGGGAAAGCAGTGGGGCTGGATGCAGTGTGCAGCTGGAGTACATGCAAATGATTGATGACTTTACAGCAGGTAAAGGCAATGGCTGTAAAACGATCTGAATGTGAGATAGGGATCAATGTGAGTGTGCACATGCATATCTGTTTTGCGTATTTGCTAGTGTTTATCCTTTAAGAAAAGTCTAAAATCAGAAACATTTCTCCTCACTTAGATGCAGCCATGTAGGCTACCTCTGTCTTCCAGTTTCCTACTTGACTGTTTTCCTCTTGTTGTTTTCTCTATTTTTTTCTCTCAATTGTTTTAATTTGCCCCCAGATTGATAGCCCCCCATATTGATTGATCCTCACTTCAGAACCATTTCATGGAACGTTTATTCAATGGGTTCGGGCCCAGCCTTGCCAGAATTTCCTGCAGGCTCTCCCTAAGTGCTGTCTCAAACCAAACTCAATACTCTCTAATGTAATGACTGAATTCTAGTGCTAATATAGTGATAATTTAATATGTAATGCCTGTTTGCGAACAAATTGTGCTACTGGCCATTTTACAACGCCAACACCAATCTGGTTCTCCTCTGTGAGCCAATGAGAGCAGCTCAGAGGCCCATGGTAGGAACACAATGAAACCGTGATCATAACTAAGCAAAACTTGAAACTAACCACAAGAATGGAGGCTGGTCAGAGCACATTTCAGTTAATCAATAGGTTCCTTTTCAAATGAGACCCCTTCAGTCTCTGAACAAGCAGAGGATAGCACAACAGGGAAGATGGGGGATGCTCATTAGAGGGACCTCTCTTGAGACAAGAACCAAACAGTTATAGGCTATCTTTAACTACCTTGTTACCAAATCAGTTACACTGAAGAGACCAAAGGCAGTCTCAAGTGGCTCTTGCACTTTACGTCTTTATTATAATATCCAAGTGTCAACAATGGCAAAGATTATAAGGCAACAGCCACTTCAGTCTAGTCTCATCTCCTGCTGATCCCTCATCAAGCTTGTTCCTATAAAGCAACAATACCTTGTGACTGAGGTGTTGGCTGAAGGTTTTCCTGCAGCTTTGATCAGTTTAACTATTCTCATGGAGCTGTGTCTGTTCCCCCATATAAAAAATAACTCTTAGTAAAGAATGTGGAATTGTGATTAAAAAGAGCAAGGGGCCACTGAAAAAAATATATTTTTCAGTATTTAACATCTATTTAATTATATTTACTTACATTAAACATTTTTTTTATGTCCTACCCTGTTAAAACCAGAAAAACAAAAAGACATTTAATAGTGATTACATGGTTACAACCATGCTGGGGTCAATCAACCTGAACTGGTTTGTTTTGGCTAAGTTTCAATGGGACCTATGAGTTTAGAAAAAAATACAATTTTAACATGATTCTCTAAAATAAAGACAAGCATTGTGCAATCTTAAATAGAAATAAAAATAAATCTATGTACATCCAGAATATGAATAAACAATGATGCTGATGTTC